TCGCTTACGATCAGAATACACGTTACGCAACAGGACGACCTAAAATTAAAATGGGAAATAACCGTGATAAAAATAAGAAGTGACTCGGTTGGCGTTAAGAAACAGTTATAAATATGATAAACCTAATTAAATAAGTATCTAACGACCTATCTACTTACAGTATTAGTGATTACAAACATGTCAGTACATAGCATACGACGTGCGGGGTAGTGGGTGCGAAATTAGAATTTGAGCTGACTTACTATATCCTCTTAATAGCTGTTTAGGGAATTTCTTTGTACATTTTCCTTCTTTCATACATGGCGATATTGAATTTCATGTTCCACATGGACCGTGAATCATATTTCGGACGATGGCATCATACAATTCTTTATCTTGCTCAGGATCCGGATTCTCGGCGCTTATTATGTCGTCTATTTGGCTGGGCCGCAACTCCTCTTTAAGCCATATTAAAATGTGGGCATGCGGTAATCCTCTTTTTTTGCCATTTAATTGAATACATTGAAGAATTGAATTGAAGCACTGCACCTCTCCGAAAATTTTCCCTTTGTTAATTACACACATTAATTTTTGTACTTTTAATCTAAATACTCTAGCAACTAAATCGTGTCTGTCAGTACTTTTTTGGCCCGGCATTAGCTCCTCGGTTATTTCTTTCCATGTGGGATTGCAATTAAAAGTAACAAAAAGATCAGGTCTTCCGTAAGTTCGTACATAGGCGAATGCGTCTTGTGTGTACTCATGTAGGTAGCGGGGATTGTTAACGAATGATGAGGGCAGAATTACCATTTTACCTAAATCTCTGGGGTTTACATTGGCGTCGCTAGAAACTGCATCTTGTATATGTATATAATTCCCAACGCGCAGCTTTTTTTTATTTAAAGATATATATCGGAGACGTTCACTTTCTACCTTCACATACATGTCTACCAAAAATTGATGAAATAATTGTCTACACCGGGCTAAGAGGTTAAAATCATTTTCTCGCAACATCATATGATACGCATAAAAATCCATACATGATACTTTTTTGTTCGGAGTAGGCTCCTTTGTGACCAGGTTAATGAGTGGAATTTGAAAATGATAACCCTCTTGTCCTTTGCAATAAATCAATGGGTATTGCAGGGCGTCATAAAACTTGTGTATATCGGCTACCCGTTGCAACGTATCATCACGTGCTCGCAAGACAATGTCTCGTGAAGAAAATTGATCACCACTAATTACGGCTGCTATTTCGTTTATCAAAGGTGCATTGTAGCGCCTTTCATGCTCTCCTCGAGGGGTCCAATCTGCGTGAATGACGACTTTATAATCCTCTTCAGGTTGGTTTTCTAAAGCAGTTTTAAATTTTTTGACTAAAATGTTACATTCATGCAAGAAGCTTTGAATTTTGAACACTGTGTCTCTCTCAACTCCCTGGATAAATTGGCAGCGACGGTCTACCTCAATTTCTTCGTCACCCATAAAATATACTTGTCAAAATTTATGCCATATGTCCATCGTACCGTCGTCCGTCTTGTAGAATCACGGTGCCTATGTCACTCTACAGCCACCGAACTATCCCCATACCAAAATTCATGCCATGCCGACGCTCTGTTGCGACGTGAAAGAAGGACAAACTTTTGCAACATATTCTATTTTCCCACGGGAATGAGATGTTTTTCCGCGGAAAAAAGTAACCTATGTCACTCTACAGCCACCGAACTATCCCCAAACAAAAAATCATGCCATGCCGACGCTCTGTTGCGACGTGAAAGAAGGACAAACAAACACACTTTCGCATTTATAATATTAAGTATGCATTACTTACAGTAACCAGTCACGAAATACTAACGCTAAACTATTCAATTTGAAATCATCGCCCACTGAATCTGCAAACTTCATAAATAGCTATTTCGTAAATATAGGAATGCAACTTGCCAATAAAATACAGAACGTCAATGTGACACCTAGTAGACCTATGGAAAACAATCCGGTGCCATTACACTCCTTTGTTTTACTACATACAGACATAGAAGAAGTTAAAAATATCATTTTAAGCTTAAAATCAAACAGCGCTCCAGGCTGGGACAATATCCCCAATGACTTCATGAAATTGGCAGTCAATGACTTGGCTCCTATTATTTCCCACTTAACTAATCTATGTTTCGATACAGGGATATTCCCAGCACCATTAAAGCAGTCTATTATTACACCTGTGTACAAGGGCGGAGACAGAGATGACTGATGATTAGTAATTACAAGCCAATTTCCGTTCTACCAGCAATATCTAAAATTCTGGAAAAGTTACTTAATATTAGATTACTCAACTACTTAAATAAATTTGATATATTAGCACCCACACAATTTAGCTTCAGACAAGGAAGTTCGACAGAAGATGCAATTCTTGAATTAAGCACATTTGTAACAGAACAACTCGACCACAATAAAAAAATGTTTGTAGGTCTTCCTTGATCTGAAAAAAGCATTCGACACAGTCTCTGTCCCCACCCTTGTCCAAAAGCTTGAAATAATTGGAATAAGAGGGACTCCGCTTGCTCTTTTCGAAAGCTACCTATCGGAGAGAAAACAAAAGGTAAAGCTTCTTGGGTTCATTAGTGGAGAAGCGGGGATGTCCACAGGGTAGCGTTCTGGGACCGACCTTATTTCTAATTTATGTCAATGACCTGTGCAGTATGACCATACCAAATGCCAAAATCCTGTCGTACGCCGATGACACGGCTGTGGTTTTTGCTGATGAATCTTGGGAGGCTGTCAAGATTAGTGCTGAAAGTGGTCTGGCTCGAGTCGCTCTGTGGTTGCAACAAAATCTCCTCACTTTGAATACACCTAAGACAAATTTTATTTGCTTTAGCATTACCAACAACTTCCAACATCCTCAAAATTCATATGTGTTTTGAGGATGCTAAAAACAAAGCTTGTGACTGCCCATCAATTCAAAAAGTCTCTCACACTAAATATCTGGGCATCGTTATAGATCAGAGGCTCTCGTGGTACCCACACCTTGAGCATGTCATTAACCCTAGAATACTAATCATCGCCTGAGATGCCGCGCGCGGTCAGTTTTTTTCCGTTATTTTAAAAACTCGCCCGCGAATCAAGTTGTGCTTTCGCTCCAATTCAGTATACCTCGCACCGCGGTGGGGAGCAGTTGCGGGCTCGCTGGGGTCTCTCCGTTATCAAAATATAAGCTAGTGAATCGCCTGGGAGGCGATCATTAGTATTAACGGTAAGTTTATTTTTCGTTACTTATTTTGATTTTTGCTTTTTTTTAGTATTTACCCTTCTTATAACTTAGAAAATGTTTATTTTCTTTTTAGATGAGTCTCAACCAAGAACAAATAGCGGATCTTTGCAAAATGAGAACTCCGATAGCGAAATCGAGGACAACTTGGAAGTCGATCCTTATGACTCTGACGATAGCGCAGCAGATCCTTCTTTCGTGCCATTTCGACTGGAAGAAGACCTACAAAATATTTTAGTAGACGATTCTGAATCCCCAAACATTTCAGTACCATGTTAAGCCACTAGCAATGCGTCAGATTCATTAGTTCCTGCGTCACAAGAAGAACAAACAGCGGAAAATCTTATTATTTTGCCTTCTGCGTTGACTGTGAGAGGTAAGAACAATTATATTTAGTCTAGAGAAACATACAGTAGGTCACAATCTATGCGAACGGGTGCCAGTAACGTAGTCCATATTTCTCCTACGCACTAATGAAGATATTTTAGTTAAAGCCAGCAAATATAAACAGCAAATTTCGACCATATCAATGCTAAGAATAGAAGAACTTAATGCACTGCTTGGTCTTACAATTTTCAGTGGTGCTATGAGTAATAACGATTTACCGACCAGAGAGCTTTTTGATTCCACACTTTGTGGTTCAAAATACATAGCTTCAATGAGCTTAGAACGTTTCGAGTTTCTCTTACGCTGTCTTCATTTTGATGACCGCAGTACCCGTGAAAACAGAAGACAGAATGACAAATTTGCACCCATCCGAAACATCTGGGAGATATTTATACAAAGATGTAGAGATCTTTACAAGCCATGCGCCTACATAACCATCGATGAACAGCTGCTTGCTTTCAGAGGACGATGTCCATTCAGAATGTATTTACCGAATAAACCAGCCAAGTACGGCATAAAGATAGTTTTGGCTTGTGATGTGAACAGTAAGTACATGTTTGATGCTTGTCCCTTCTTAGGGAAAAACGCTGAAACTGCCCCGGCCGAACCTCTTGGTACTCATTACTGCAAGCTGCTTACGAAGACTATTTATGGGAGCAACCGTAACGTCACAGCAGACAATTGGTTCACATCGGTACCTCTAGCTGAGCAACTTCTGGAAGATCCGTACAATTTGACATTCATTGGAACAATAAAAGCCAATAAAAAAGAAATACCATCAGAGTTCAAACACAATCCATTACGTCGTGTCGGTACATCTATGTTTGGTTTTCACAATAAACTCACATTAGTTAGTTTCAAACAGAAATCCCAAAAAACAGTTCTTCTGTTGTCTACCATGCACAATGAACCGGTAATAGATCCCGTAACGAAAATCATTTTGTCTTACAACAAAACTAAAAGCGCTGTGAATACATTCGATCAAATGTGGTCATTTGAGTTGTAATCGCAAAACAAGACGTTGGCCGCTGTGCCTATTCTATGGGATGATCAACATGGCTGTATTGAATAGCTACATATTGCATGTATCCAATTTGAAGACTCGCGGGACTAAGCCAATGAACAGAAGAGAGTTCGTGAAAGAACTGAGTACCTACTGAGTTATGTCGACCGTGGTGTGAATTGAGTGGTGAGGAGCGACCGAAAATGAGAAAACGATTTAGAGACGCTATACAAGAGGTTTTGGCTCCCGAAAATCATCCAACTGTGACTGAACCAGGTATAAAAAAGGCAAAAGAAGTATGTGTAGTTATTGCCCAGCCAAAAAACGACGTATGACTGTTTATTACTGCGCTAAATGTAAGAAAAACTATTGCTTAGAACATCGATCTCCAAACTGCAGTTCCTGTGACAAAAAATGAAAGGCTGGCTTCAAATTAGTCTATAGACAAAAATGTGATGTAACCATAATTTTAATTTAGTGTTTTATAAAGTTTGTATATTGTACAATAATATTGATGCCAAAAAGAGCAAAAATATAATAGTAATTTTTTTTATCAGACTGATGTAAGAGTGTTATATTTCAAAAAAAATGTTTGTTATTGTAAGATTTAAGTCTTATTTTAAGACTAATGTTGATTATAAAAAATAATTTTTATTTTAGTTTTTAAATGGGGTAGAAGTTTGCCAAATAATTAATATTATTTTTATAAAAATGTAATAAATAACTAATAAAAAAATTGGTGTTTTTAAAAATTGGTGTTTAGAACGTAGCCTCCCAAGCGATTATTAGTATTAAGCTGTCGTAAATTTATATTAGTATTCTAGGGTTAATAGGACCCGAAAATTGATTTGGATGTTCAAAACTCTAAGACACGTAATACCTGATAGTACTAAACAATCGGACTCTCCAAGATATCTTCTTAACCAAATATACACGTCCCTTGCACAATCTATCATATAACACGCACGCACGCACGCACGCGCGCACGCACGCACGCACACGCACATATACACTTTTGTAATTTTTGTAAATTTTGGTTGTTAAAGTCGAAATTAGTTTTTATCATTTTTGGTTTTTAAATTAAAAAATGTATGTCTAGATAAGGAAGAGCGGGGTTTCCAAACACAGGCATTACTTGCTTAAATGGAGACCCCAATCAACTATGTCATTAGTTTAAGTTTTATAAAGAAAAATAAATTATTTTATTTTTAATTATTATTGTGGGGTATCTATATAGTTTTCTCATCTGGTTGGGTTCTATAAATATATAATTATAAATGAAAATGAAAAGATAAATATACATAAATATCAATAACATAAAATAAATATAAAAATACATACATACATACATAAACACTCACGCCTGTCACCCAGAGGGGTAGGCAGAGACTACGGACTTCCATTTGGCACGATCCTGACATACCTCTTTCGCCTCCTTTACATCCATATATCTACGCATACATGCTCGTCGGTTAAGGGTACTTCTAACGTGGCCCATTTTCAAAATATCGCCAATTTGGTCGATAAACTTTTTCCTAGGGCGTCCCTTCCCGACTCGGCCATTCACATCTGCCATATAAATTTGCTTTGTCACTCTTTCCTCATTCATTCTTTCTACGTGACCAAACCACCGAAGCATTCCTTTCTTAATCCTGGTCACAACATCATCTTGCATACCACATTTATCTCTTATCACGCAATTTCTCACCCTGTCAAAATATAAAAATACGTAAATATATAAATATAAAAATACGTAAATAAATAAAAGCCCAACCAGATGGAGGCCCTCGGCAGGGGAGACCAAACGGCCGAGGGTTAGGGGGAAAGGGAAAGAAACCGGCGGACGATGCGGGCGGTATCGAGGAGCACCGCCTTCTGCATTTGAGCCCGGAGCGGTCCGCCACGTAGTCCCAGTCGCCTCAGATGACCCGAGAGGCTGACTGGGATTAGCCCGTTTGCAGAGACGACTACAGGAATAATTTCGGTCGGCAGACCACCCCACATGTCGGTCACCTCGTGAGCCAGGTCCAGATATTTTGTTTGCTTGTCTGTTTCGGCTTTCACGAGGTTCTCATCATACGGAATGGTAATGTCGACCAAAAATATCCTTGACTGTGCCCGGTCCATCAGCACAATATCAGGCTTATTCGCAAGAATAGTCCTGTCTGTGATGATGGCCCGGTCCCAATAGAGCCTGGCGCGATCATTTTCGAGCACGGCTTCCGGCAAGTACTTGTAATACGGCAATTTCCGATCCACGAGACCGTATTTCAGAGCGAGCTCCTGGTGAAGAATTCTGGCTACTAGGTTGTGCCTGTGCAAGTACTCAGAGTTAGAAAGCGCCGAACAACCGGAGATGACATGCCTAAGTGACTCACCGGGATGGCGACAAGCTCGACAGATGTCCACGGTGCCGTCCTTTAGGATGTATCTCCGATAGTTGTTGGTCTTAATAACCTGATCCTGTATTGCACAGACAAAACCCTCGGTTTCCCCGAAGAGATCACCAAAGCGTAGCCAGTGGAGGGAGGCTACTGTGTCTACGAAAGGCTCATGTAGAGCCTTGTAGAACCTCCCGTGGAGCTCCTTCTCCATCCATACGGTCTCCCGGTCGGAAATGCTAAGCACTGCTGGGTCCTGCCATTGCTCGTTGGCTAAGGATAGAGGGGTAAGCCCTTTATCACTAGAAATGACGTCATTATAGAATAGATCATCCGATCTCGCCAGGAAGTAATCACGGAGGCTGCACACTTCGCGATTATGCATGGTGAGCGTGCTCAGAAAACCACGTCCACCATGCTTTCGCGGCAAGTACAGCCTCATTACCGACGATCTCGGATGATGCATCCTATGGGACGTCATGGTAGTGCGGACTTTTCTATCCAGGGCGTTAAGTTCAGTCTGGGTCCACCTGAGTATGCCAAAGGTATACATGAGGACAGGCATGACCCAAGCGTTATATGCGTGTGTCTTATTCACACCGGACAAAAGGCTGTTAAGCACTTTGGTCAAGCGTGCATAAAACACGTCGCAAACTGACTGTTTCATACCAGCCTCATCGATACCGATGTTCTGTGACATACCCAGGTATCGGTATGTTTCAGCCTCGGAAAGGGTCCTTAAGTTGACGGGCATAGATAAGTCTATGCCCTCAGAGTTAGCAACCCTTCCCCTTTCAACATGGAGGACCGCACACTTATCCGTTCCCAGCTCCATTCCAATAGAACTGCTAAATTCACAAGTGATGTTTAGCAATTCCATAAGATGGGAGCGACTGGAGGCGAATAACTTGAGGTCATCCATATAGAAAAGGTGGGTCACTTTTGTACCTCCTTTCCGAAGCTGAAATCCCCTCCCGGAGCCCTCCAGTAAAGTACTGAGAGGGTTCAGGGAGAGGCAAAACCAGATTGGACTCAGACAATCGCCCTGGAAGATACCCCTTCTTATCCTTATGTGGTTCTCCGCAGCCATCATCCGCTCGCCCAGATAGCAAAGGATCGTACTCCATTGTCCCATACACTGCTCGAGGAAGTCTCCAACTGTACAGTCAATTTTGTACAGCTGGAGGACTCTCTTTAGCCATGTATGGGGCACCGAGTCGAATGCCTTTCTGTAGTCTATCCAGGCGGCGGAGAAATTCCGACGGCTGCGTTTCACCACTTTGCCAATGACCGCGTCAATGAGGAGTGGTTCCTTGGTTCCACGACCACCGCCCCGGCATCCATTTTGAGCGCGTGACATCACCTGATTTAGCTCCAGGTGACGAGTGATTCTCGCGCTCAAAATGGATGTCAGTGTCTTATATATGGTGGGTAGACACGTGATGGGGCGGTATTTGCTCGGGTCTGTGGTATCCTGATCTTTAGGAACCAAATGAGTGATCCCAGTAGTGAAGAGGCTCGGGAGCGACTTCTGATCGAGAGCCTCTTGAAACTGTCGGGCGAGCACAGCGTGACACACTACGAACCCCTTCAGCCAGTAATGATGCAGCCCGTCGAGCCCCGGATTTTTCCAGTTCGGGGCCCTACGGACCGCCTCAGCCACGTCTTCAGGCGTTATGGTGACGGGGTCCATAGGCGTAACACTTGCACTCTGGCTCGCCACAACTTCCATCCAAGGGCCCTCGCTGTGGTTTACGGGCTCTGACCACAGGCCACGCCAAAATGCGACAGTGTCGGCCTGATCCGGTCCTGGGCCCGCTCCACATACCTCTGGTCGCTCCAATGATTTATAGAGCCTCTTCTGATCACTCTGGAAGAGACGATTCTGGTTGAACCGCCTTGACCTCTCGCTAAATCGTCGAATCCGCTTCCCCCAAGCAGCGATTTTTTGCTTCAGGTCATCTATGCGCTCCGTTAGTTTTTGCATGATATCCGGTTGGAACAAACTGATATTTGTCCCAGCAAACGCCATCCTAACGGTGCGCATAATCCTCGGTCTATTATTACCCGACCTGAAGCTTGTCAGTCTGCCGATAAGGGCCCTTGCCTTTGCGATACGGTCCTCAATTCTTTTTCTCCAGGCTGGGATGGCGCTACTTTTTTGAGTAGCACGTCCAGCCACGGGAAGTTTGGCGCCAATAATACGGCATACTGCCAGTGCGGCGCCAAAAAGAATTGAATCCGTCTCGCAAAGGTCCCGGCTGGCTTCCAAATAGGTCACCAGCATTGGGTTAAGGGCCCGCACGACAGCCCGATTTCGCTTGCTAAGGGGTATGCGGGGAAGTCGCGGTCGATTTTCGAGAGGCATGCTGCGCGTTTCCAGCATCGACTCTTCCAATATGCTCCTCATTTTCTCTAGTTCGTGGAAGACTATTCCATCATCGTCTGAATTAGCCACAAATGGAATGTTGACGACAGCATCCACATATGCAGTTTGTTGCGCATCTAGTGGCGCCGCATTCCCAGCCGTAGCATTTCCATTCGATGAAGGAATAGCCTCACGTCGTAGTCGCTCGAGTTCGGCGTCACCAAATATGTTGGAGCGCAGGATGTACCTAACTCGGTCTGCCAGGTTTTGCTCAGTGACGGATAGAGATGGCTCCAGCTCTGCAAAAAAGCGATGCATCCGAGCCCGATACGCCAAACATCCAGTTTCTTCCCCTTTTGCCCTAAAATACGCCCGCAGTGCGTTTTCATTCATTGATTTAGACCAACGCATGCGACGTGCTCCACCAGCGGCGGGTGCCGCTTGCTGAGTCCGAGAAGACCCAGCCGACACCAAGCCTTCTGGTGGGAATGATGGATGCGGGGGATGATTTAATTATTTATTATTATTATTATTATAATATGTATATTGCTTATTCAAATTCAAATTCATTTATTTATTTGTGAATACAGTAAGTTAGGTGTTATAAAAATTTACAGTAGGTACCGTGTATTCTACCACAGTGTGGTGTACAAATAAATTTCTTCACGTTATAGCCAATAACAGCAAAATGAAATACTATTAAAATTGATTGCAAATTATAAAAATACAATAATCATATTTGTAGGTGGTATTAAATAGTCACAAAAATGTTATATATTATAAGTGAAAGCGTCTTGCAATGATACCCATGACACATAACACATTTCGTAATGGCGCCTTTACGTCTATATTGAAAAAAAAAAGAAAAAGGTGAAGTAAATAAAAATGTCATCTTTTCAAATTATTATTACTATTATTAATTGGTAAAAAAGAAAATTTTGTAATATTTTTATATATACTTAGTGCCTAATGCATTGTTTTAGTGGTCTAACCAAAAACTACCTTCGCATTATTGCCTTTCTAATGAAACCGGTTTGGGGCACATCGGCTGCACAGTTTCAAAGTTTATAACAGGCATAGGTGGAAACATTTTTTGAATTTTATGTAGATAAGATTAGCTCATAAAATGTTTCGTTAACATTATTAACATTCGTTGTGACCATAGAAAATATTCGCGCTCTTGACTTGAATGACTAGTGAGGCGTTAGACGTTTTGATGTCATTGTTAACACGTTCTAAATGTAAAAAAATACAATTCGCTAAACATAAAAAATCATTGTGTTAAATTATTTCTCATATGTATATATTATTTCTACACATACAGTTAAGTCATACCTTTTAACGTCTTATGTCATCATGATGATATAGTAATTAACATTAATATAACTTGGTCATCACAGTTTATTTAGCACATAGTGATAATGACAAGGCAAACGTGTTTTCAAGGTTTGAGCAACTTCGTAAATTATATGTAGAATATATAACAGCATTGCGAGCCGAGATGCAGTCAACGGTTTCTTTTAAATAAAACACGGAGACTATGTACTTCGCGCGATTTCTGTTACCGACGATTTTTTTTATAGGATAGGGTGACAAACGAGCACGTAGTCCACCTGATGGTACGTAGTAAGTGGTTGCTGTGGCCCATAGACATCTACATCTATCCTCGATTAAGAATCAAAATGCAGATGCCTTGTCACCCGTGTGGACTAAGATGTAATGCCTCGTTGCTAGTAAAAAAGGTTTCCGGCTCTCTACACTCACCATACGAAACACAGCAGCATTAAGCTACTATTTTACGCTGGTATTCTGTGAGAACGTGGTACTTTCATGGTCAAGCCGACCCATTCGTGCTACAACTATACTACTAATATAACTGCAGCATGGCTCTACCACGTATAAAATGTGAATTTGCATTTATCATTTATTAGTAAAATTAAACTAAAGTTGCTCGTGTACTTAAAAATTGAAGTATTGCAGCCACACTGCTATTGTACTGTGGCTGCAGCACGAATGGGTCAGCTTAACCAGGGAAGGACCACGTTCTCACATGTTTCGTATGGTCGCTATTTTTTTATGGAATAAGTGTGTACAAGCACACGTTTCACCTGGTAGTTAGTGGATACCATGGCTCATAGATACTTTAGACCCTGTTTCCACCAAAGCAGAGAGGAGAGGAGATGTTCTACAAAGCTGGCAGGTTATTTCCACTAAAGCGGAAACGAGAAGTGTAGTGGAGAGGAGATGTGTGCTTTGTATAGCAGAGATGTGAGCTGTGAGAGATCGAAACCAGTCAAGTTCTGTCTACGAAAGGAAGACGTCATGTCGTTACAAGTTGTATCTGAATTTGCTTGAGGAAGGGAAATTAGAGGCTGTAAAAAGATAATTAACTCTTCAAAATTTAAATGTCGTCGGCAACATAGATTCTGGATAAGAAACCATATAAAATGTCACAGTCATGGCGAATATGCCACACTGTTTCTGCTGATGATGAAAGATGAAAGGTTTCAAAAATGTTACAGGGTAACAAGGAGTAATCTCCCGGCCGCCCGATTAGACACTTCTCCGCTCTGCCGCGCTGCTTGCTCGCCCGCCGCACAAAATTCTATAGAAAAATGAGACATCTCCTCTCCTCTTCGCTTGATCCATTTCCACCAAAGCTAAGCGGAGAAGAAATGTGAAAATAACGAAATCAGATTGGTTTATACAAACACATCTCCTCTCGTCTCGTCTCCTCTCTACTTTGGTGGAAACCAGGCCTAAAGGTATCGTTGATTAAGAATCAAAATCTAGATGCGTTTTCACCCTACCCGTTACCAGTAAAAGGGTCTCCGGTTCTCTACACTGACCATATGAAAAACGGAATTAAACTACTATTTAACATTGGTATTCTATATGGGCGTGGTACGAGTACAATCGTGCAGGTCCTTTCGTGCTGCACCCATAACATAGCTGCAGCGTAGCTCTATGGTGAGTAATAAGTACTGGCGACCCCTTTTACTGAAAACGAAGAATTCCATCAGGTCCCAGTAAGTGACAAGGCATCTATACTTCGTAATTGAAGATAGATTTAGGTATCTATAGGCCACAGCATATCATATGAATATATAATTTTTTGGTCGTTATTAATGGGATTTTAGGTTCCCAACAAGTTACGAACATAGAATACTATAATACACAATAGAATGGCTGTCAACCTTATTTTGTATGAGAATAACGTTGTATTATCTCTACTACAAACCCGATTCGTTGTGTTGACAGACATTTTAATACATATTTATTTGTAAATAGCATAATTTGCATGCAAAATTTGGAAGCGATTGTAACGTCAAAACACATCTCGTGTTGACATTTATACGTGTGAATTGACCTGTTAGTGACATTTTAGTGGCTACACGGGCTCCGCCCACTCCCCCGTTCTGTTAGGTATGTATCAATCTTGTGAAAAACCGTTATTCACATCTGAGCTAAATGATATATGCTGTGACACGATTATCAGTGGCAAAATGGGGTCTTTGACAATACTCTTACTCCCTGTCCAATGCTGAGGTAATAAACCCAGATGCAATTTGCCAATACACTCATATAAATTTATTTTAATTTATTAATGGTCGAGTTTTCTGAAGTAACGTTATTTCTATACATTTGAATACTGATTCTGATAACGCACGTAATGGGAATCACAGGGTTTTTGTTAAATGTTATATATATTAGATGTTATTAAAGAACACTTAGAAATCTGAAATTTACCGCATAGTCTTCGAGTAACACGCTAGGCACCGTGTTGCCTTGCTTTTAGTGGTAACAAAAAAAATCTTTTTAGATTTATACAACTTATTATATAATTTTTAAACTTCAAGGTACGAATAAACTGATCAATAAACACATTTGTCCGAATTATTTCATTTATCTGGCATATATTGCACAGCCTCACTATGGACAGATATAGCCATTTTCTGCAAAGCTACTCTTGCTTCTTCTACAGGAAATTTCTCGCAACATTGAAGGACTGCCACCAATTCTTCGTCGAGGAGCTGCCTCAAATACTCAAAACACCTCGTGCCCATTACGGCATAGTACAAAGGTTTGAATTCTACCTCCTTCTTTTCCAATTTGGCCTCTAAAATATGTCCATATATCGTTGGATATTCCCATATAGCCAATGTCACTGGAGCTCCGACTAAGGAATAAGAATTTGGGTGTGTGAAAAAGTCTTTCACGTCTAAATACAGTTGCCAGATCATTGCCAAGTGTCCGCCAAGCTTGTAGGCTTCTCTTTCCAATTCCTCTCCTCGATTGCTAAGCTTCATAGCTGCTTGACAACCCTTGGCGAGTAAACTTCCGGATGTCAACATTGTGCGGAGGACCCATTCATCTTTTCCTTGGCCGAGGAATTCATTGGAACCCAGTTTACCGAGATTATTCTCATTTTCCCAATCGTAGTGTCTTTTAATTTCGTTGTTAGCTGAAATGTGATCATTTTAATAATGCCAGACGTTGTTGATATGCATGATTGGCCTCATGCAGGTCAACCGCCTGTCAAGCATGGCAACTATGGCAAAATCTCCAATATGGGGCAGGCCTATGTTCAACAGTGGACTTTTATAGACTGTAATGGAATGGATGGATGAAATGTCCATTGCTGGATATGGGCCTTTCGTTGCAGGGTTGTTTTGCCTTTACGTGACTCTAGGTAAGCGGATTGACGATCGTAGTCCAGCGAGTGGAGCCGCCGGTCTTGGTATTTTAAAAACAAACATGTGGCAGGCCCACGCTGCAGCTTTATTACAGTAGTAGCATGTATAAGTCAGCTCGACCGAGGAGGGACCACGCTCTCACAGAATACCAGCGTGAAATAGCAGCTTAATGCTGCTGTGTTTCGTATGGTGAGTGTAGAGAACCGGATACCCTTTTAATTCATTAGATTGCCCCATAGGGTACATATTTGCCATAGTTGTAATGTTACTGTTGATTTAATAATTTCACCTCTCAGTGGGTCATGTGCTCCTAGTAGATTATCATCTATACATCCATCCTTTACAACCTATTGAAGTTCACTGCTGAACATAGGCCTCTCCCATGGATTGCCTCATAGGGGAGATATTTGCCATAGTTGTAATATTACTGTTGATTTAATAATTTCACCTCTCAGTGGGTCATGTGCTCCTGGTAGATTATCTTCTATACATCCATCCATTACAACCTATTGAAGTTCACTGCTGAACAGCCTCTCCCATGGATTGCCTCATAGGGGACATAGTTGCCATAGTTGTAATATTAATGTTGATTTAATAATTTCACCTCTCAGTGGGTCATGTGCTCCTGGTACATTATCTTCTATACATCCATCCATTAGAGCCTATTGAAGACCAGTGCTGTACATAGGCCTCCCCCATAGATTGCCTCATAGGGGATTTCGGCATAGGTACTATGCTTGGCAGGCAGTTTGTTGAGTTATCAAGAAGATGCTGCTGTCCATCACCTGTTTTAATACCCCTCTGTCGCCTCTTACGACACCCACGGGTCGATTAGGGGGAAATGGATATTCTTACACAAACACGATCAATGGACATTTACGAGCCGATAAGGTTTTATCTTGAGAACGCAATGATTGAAAAGTAGTTTTATTTATGTTATTACGTATTTACCGTGTATTGACGCCGTAAGAATATCCCCTACCCCATATCATCCCTTGCGTAAGAGGCGACAGAAGGAGATAAATCTGGAGACGGGCAGCAGCGCCTAATAACAACTAAGAAAAATCTGCGGTTGCCAAAGCGTGGCAATTACTTACGAAGGCTTACGTTTAGCAGTGTACTTTAGTAGGCGGTAACGGTATTAGATATTTATAAATAAAGCAATAGATCATTAAAAAACAACCTTTGGGCTTCGACGGTAGAGGATTGTTGTCGGCATCTCTTTCGCCAAGAAAGTCACCTTCCACCAAGTCTCGGAGACCCGTGGAGATGAGCTCCGTCACCTCGTTGTTACGTAAGCCGCCAAGATGGCGGAGGCATGTCGCCAGTAGGTAATCTCCTGAGAAACGTAGAGGAACAGCATGCATACGTTCTGCAGACCTATTTGCCAACTTCAAATTGTAAAATTAAAAATTTTGTACAACCGACTTCAATATAAATAAAATGAGAACACAATCAATGTATTCGAGATCAATTAAATATGCATCATTAAGAATAACTCAAAAACTACTAGTACCAGATTTTAATCAAATTTATATGGGATCACACGAGAAGCACCTTTCAGCAGCTCTCAAATAAAAAAATACCTAATAATCGAAATCAGTTCACCCAGAAAAAAATTCTGATGTAACAAACATTAAAAAAACATACAGTCGAATTGAATACCTCCTTTCGAAGTCGGTTAAAAAGTAATATACTTATGGTTCATTGAAGTTTGTTATTTTTTAACCGACATAATAAAATAAATCCAAATTCTGAAGTCGGTGCTAAGATAGAGATAAGAATAAAAAGTTATTTTATGTATTATTTTTAGTTCTACTCGTATGAAGTCCGCTTTTACTTCTGTTAAGTTATTTTTTTAACTTTTGAGTGGGCTAAGGAATATCATAATCTCATTATTGTCTAAATAGTTACATTACAAACTGTATCCTCTATTTTGCCAGTCTTAGGGTTGGAATTATTTTTCAAAACTAAAAGCCCTGAAGTAGGCTACTTACAGTCAACCAAATCTAAGAAATACATTTTGACAGCTGTCAGATTTATTGCACCAAGCATGCCAACCAAAAAATGGGAACGTACAATGTTCGATTCTTTAAAAAATCGATATCGATTATTTAGAGTTGGTAATCATTTAGTTTGGTTTGAATAATACCAGAATACATTTAAAACGGATAATTTAAAACTTAATTTAAAGATTTATCAGTTTCTTCGTATTTGTTGTTACTGCTTATTTCTAGAGGCACAGTTATAAAAATTTAAGATTGAAACTTATTCAATCATTTTCCGTAAAATTAGTAGATATGTCGTTGTTTATATTAATTATTATTAGATTTTCAATAATGCAGACAAAATTAAAGTCTCTTTCAAAGTCATCCATAATAATTTTTTTGTTTTTTTCTACCACTTTTGCCCAATCATCCTTTGTGACATGGACACATGCTTCAAAGAATATTTTTTTATAGCATTGGGTTACAAACGAGCACACCCCAGTAGCAGAATGGCGGATTCGAACGCACGACCTTTTTGAGTTAGCGCTCCGCGCCCTGGCATTAGGCTACTGTCGGTTATGATGGATGATGATAGATGAAATAATCTAAATAAAATAAAAATAATTCTATTCTATTACCCATATCTGCCACCAAACAACGAGCTTGCACCGCTGTGTTCCAGTCTGAAGGGTAGGGAGAGTCAGTATATTTACAGGCTGTGAGGCATTCCATACTAGTCCTCAGAGGTGACGTCGCATCTGTGGCCATCTTTGCTTGGGTATGCCAGCAGGTGTTCAGGTGGTAGACATTGTATACGTGGAGAACCACGCTGCAGCTATATATTATGGTTGTAGCACGAATGGGTCGGCCCGACCGGGGATGGACCACGCTCTCCCAGAGTACCAGCGTAAAATAGCAGCTAATATTGCTGTGTTTCGTATGGTGAGTGTAGAGGACCGGAAACCCTTTTTTACTGGAATCGAGGCATTCCATCTTAGTCCTTAGGGGTAACAACGCATTTGCATTTTGATCCTTTGTTAATTGAGGATAAATGTGGATGTCTATGGGCCACAGCATCCACTTATATATACACAGTCCACCCGATGTTAAGTGGATGCTATGGCCCATAGACATACATATATATTCTCAATTAAGAATCAAAATGCAAATGCGTTGTCACCCCAGAGGCTTAAGATGGAATGCCTCGATTCCAGTAAAAAGGTCTCCGGTTCTCTACACTCACCATACGAAACACAGCAGCATTACGTTACTATTTTACGCTGGTATTCTGTGAGAGCGTGGTCCTGCCCCGGTTGAGCCGACCCATTCGTGCTACAACTATAATATAGATGTAGCGTGGCTCTACCACGTACAAAAAGTTATATAGAAGAAACAATCCAAAAAGTTAAAACCGAGTCACAAAATGAGAAGACAAACAAAAACTCACAAAATTACGCACAAGGCTCTGGAAACAGAAACAGAAACTTTTTTATTCAATATAGATTAATAATACTTTTGAAAGTCACTTTTTTCATTTACCACTCGTTCGCAAAAAAAAACCTTTATCCTGGGAAGAACCAGCAATAAACCCAACGGGACTAATTTAAAAAAAAATAAGAGCTTACAAATGCGTGTTACAATTAACAACACAAAACAAATTAGAAATAGCTTGGTAGCGATCACCCTTCCCAGGAGTTATTGTCATCCATAAATTCCTTAATATTAAAATAACCCTTTTTATACAAACTTAATTTAATAAAGTTTTAAACTATGTGCACTTACGTCAAATTTTGTATATTTTCTGGGATTTTGTTGTAAAAGCGTATTCATCGCCCCAAGAATGAATACTGACTCTGTGGAGTCTAGTAACTGGTACCGAAATGGCGGGATATTGAAATTATGTAGTGGTTTGTTTAGCACGGCCTTGTATATAATTTTTTTTGCATACACAAATTTACTTTGACAAAGTAAAAAAAAATAAACTTGTTTTATTCATGATTCATGTTATTTGAGGAATTTTGAAAATAAAAATTAAATTAAATAAATAACGCATTAAAAAATTAATGATTCGATTATTTGAAAATTTTTACCGATTATTTGAATATTTTGTCGATCATTCGCATAACAACGAATTTTAATCATCCAAGCACTACGGTAATATACATAGCGACATATCATTGAAACGACGTCAAGAAAAAAAGTTAATACTGGTTATTTTTTAATATTTTGCTTTGTTTGAAAAATTCAAATTTAAATTTGTGATAAAAAACTATACACGTTGTAATGAAATATAGATAACTTCATAATTCTTCGAATTCGCGTAAAAGGTTATTTTAAATCCTGTAAGTACGCTGGTGCAAAGTTATTGCGGAATGATTAATGTGAAACGTCAAAAGGTATTTCTTAGATTTGGTGGACTATAATAAAAAAAAACGAGCGAGCCTTACAGTCGTCGCAAATTATGATGTGTAACATATGACACCTCACCTCAACTTGGTAAGGTACGCGAGAGTAATATGGTCGTCACCTTTGCCGTCCTAACAAAAACAAAACTAGGAGGAAGATAGATTCAAAAACACAAAGTCGTATAGTATAACTGAAATCTTAATAGAAAAATAGCAAATAAGCTCTGACAATAATTAGGAAAACTTCGAAAATCAACTTAATAAAAACTAAGTAATGATTTCTTAAATTTACGCAAACACTACACATTGAATAAAACTAAATTTACGGATTTTATCGCGTTTATTTAACTGATTACTTTTTTTAATTTAAAAAAATTAGTTAAATAAACGCGATAAAATTCGTAAATTTAGTTTTATTCAACTAACTAAGTACATTACGCCATACTAATATCGACTAATATATTTACTATAATATCCAACTGTTAAAATGGCGTCGATAAATCTCCGTTCTTTTGACTCTTTATTATTTATTTGCCTGATGAAGAGCTATGGTATCATATAGCCTTCCATGCAAACAAAGCTGTAGTTTTTGTGTTATAAGAAAGTGACCATATTAACCGGGTGACCACATTACCCTCCCATACGTAAGCATTAAGCAACATTAGATTTTAGCATTAAAAATATTTACTGAGCAGCCAAAGAAATTAACTTCAAAACTTTAAAAAGCCAAATGCTGAAATATTTATTCGAATAATTATTCATTAATTATTACTCACTTGCATTTTTTATCAATAATCTGCACTTTTTTCAGACACTTATTATAAACAATAAATACATTTATTTACACATAAATTAGTAACTTTACTCCCACCGCGCGCGGTCATTGGTCAAATCAAATAGCGCGCGCTTCCTCGGCTTCCAGTTACACTCTTCCGTCCCTTTCACAAAATCACTTCTCACATATTATGGAAAGTGAGACGAAAGATCTCTCTTCACAATTGACGAAGATATCGCATTACATACATATAAAAAAGGGTACAGTCGAATTGTAAGCCTTCTTTTTTTTTGACGTCTGCTAACAAAATCATAGTTACTTTGTACATTACATATCCTATTTAGCTTTTCTATAAGATCTACACAGAATAATATTACAAAAGAGCTACAACATCTCATATAACATACGACACAATACGTTATAAAAGACTATCATTTTGATATCACCAAGTTAGCGAAGAGGCCTGGAGGAAGTTTCCTAAATGGATGAGTGAAAATTCCGCCGCGTTACTCCACGCGGGCTTTCAAATTTTACTCGTATTTCCAACATGTTAACTTCCCCGCTATGTTTTCTTTCACCGCGGAATTGGCAATCGAAATTAAAAGTTCAAACTCTGGTTGCTCGTGTACTTACGAGTAATAATTAAATTTAAGGCAGGGCACTTCTCTCCTGCACCATCACGGAAAATATGTTGGTTTTGACAAATATTGGCTTCAAGCCCAAAGCCCCGTCAAGTTGTTTCAAGAGTCGTACATAAAATAGTAGAATGCAAATTACTAATAACTAATAATAAATACGTGAAGGCAAATTAAATGTATTAATGATTTCTTATATTAAGTCGAACACTACACATTATTTCAAACTAACTTTACGGATTTTATCGCGTTTAATTGTACTTATTTTTAATTCCCAACGTTTTGGGTGCTTTACACAGTCACGGAGAACTGAACATAAGTAGAATTAAACGCGATAAAAATCGTAAAAGTAGTTTTATTCAATATTAATAGAGTGTCAGAAGCTACGTCATCGTTATGCAGTTATATTAGTGGTATAGTTGTTGCACGAATCGACCTGGGAAGGACCACGCCCTTACAGAATACCAGCGTAAAATAGTAGCTTGATGCTGCTGTGTTTCATATGGTGAATGTAGAAAACCGGAGATCCTTTTTACTTGAAACGAGGCATCCCATCTAAGTCCTCACGGGTAACAACGTATCTGCATTTTGATTCGTAATCGAGGATAGATGTAGATGTCTATGGATCGCAGCAACCACTTACCATCAGGTGAACTTTGCGCTCGTTTGTCACCCTATCCTAAAAAAAATCGTAACTAAGGCATTCAACTCTCACCAGTTAATAACACAATTTTATTCCCACACAGCAGATCTTTAAACTTCTCTCCGTGCTTCTGTTTGTCCTGGAGGTTGGCCATGGTCTTGTGTATCAAATGGCCAGTTCTCTTCATCTCCACAATCTCGGCTAGAGCCCGCTGAGCATAAAGAACTCCAGAGTCGTGTTGATCCAGCGTGTACTCTCTAGGGTTGTACGAGGCAGCTTTCGAAACCAGTAGCACTATGAGGCCGACGGACTGAAGATTGCTGCGTGACCCTATCAGGATGTTTTTCGCAGTCTTCAGGAGAGGATGGTTCGTTCCAACCTGACCATTAACGTAAAACATATGCCTAATTTATTTTTTTCTTCTTCTATCTCTTCTATTAAGTCACAAACGAACTACAGTCCACCTTTTTATAGAATAAGGGTGACAAACAAGCACACAGTTCACCTGATGGTAAGTGGATGCTGTGGCCCATAGACATCCACATTTATCCTCAATTAACAAAGGATCAAAATGCAAATGCGTTGTTACCCCTAAGGACTAAGATGGAATGCCTCGATTCCAGTAAAAAGGGTCTCCGGATCTCTACACTCACCATACGAAACACAGCAATATTAAGCTGCTATTTTACGCTGGTACTCTGGGAGAGCGTGGTCCATCCCCGGTCGGGCCGACCCATTCGTGCTACAACCATAATATATAGCTGCAGCGTGGTTCTCCACGTATACAATGTCTACCACCTGAACACCTGCTGGCATACCCAAGCAAAGATGGCCACAGATGCGACGTCACCTCTGAGGACTAGTATGGAATGCCTCACAGCCTGTAAATATACTGACTCTCCCTACCCTTCAGACTGGAACACAGCGGTGCAAGCTCGTTGTTTGGTGGCAGATATGGGTAATAGAATAGAATTATTTTTATTTTATTTAGATTATTTCATCTATCATCATCCATCTTAAGCGACAGTAGCCTAATGCCTGGGCGCGGACCGCTAACTCAAAAAGGTCGTGGTTTCGAATCCGCCATTCGGCTACTGGCGTACTTCGGCGTGAACCACTCGTATCACAAGCATATTAAGCTTACCATGAGTGGTTAAAAACTAAATAAATCTCAGCATATAATAGTCCACTGCTGAACATAGGCCCCCATAGATTGCCTCAAAGGGTGGATTTTGCCATAGTTGCCACGCTTGGCAGTAGGGTTGGCAAACGCAGTTTTATATCATTTCGAATTGTTATTAGGAAGATGCTGCTGCCCATCACCTGTTCCAGTTTCCCAGACAGACTTCAAGGCAGGAAAGTGGACCTACTCCATCATCCCATGTCGTTCATAACGTGTGCACTGAGTGATTATGGGTAATCCTAGAAAGATACCATAGTAAAGCGTCCTCTTACCACACACAGCTTAGTCTTATCAGGTGGATATGCTCGTTTATAACTCATGTATAAAAAACCCAACTCACACGCCATGAAACTGAGGTTGCCAGATGATCGGGATCCGTCCGGACTCTCCTGACATTTTAAAAGATTTCCAGACTCCCGACTAAACTTAATATCTCCAGACAAACAGCTTCTCTTCACATCTTAGCTGCTTTTGATTTAAAACTAGGATAGCTGAACTTTGAAGTAAATTGTCTGAATTTTAAATCTAGTGAATACTAGTGAAGGATCCAAATTGGTGAACTCGGTACAGTACTAGTAATGCCAAATACACGTGGCAACCTAAAAATTATGTGTACTTAAATTAGTTATGTGTCAACAACGTTAATTTTTTTAGCCTATTAATTAAAAAAAAAACTTTTTATTTTACATTTTTTTAAATATTTATTTATCCCGAAAACAATCCTAAAATTCTGACATTTTAAAATTTTGTCCAGATATTTTCGTTTTTATATCTTATTCTATTCCTACCTGAAACGCATGCTTAATGCCATTTTCTTAAAGTGGTCATGCCTTACCGTAGTCTAAAAAAGCCATAAGATAAAGAACAGTTTACTAACTAGCTTCCGCAGCTGTGTGGCGATCACAGCTATTTCATCGTTGAACAACCATCGCAGGTTGAGAAAAGACGTAGGGTAGCCCACGATCTGCTCAGCATCAGACACCACGGTGCGCCAACCAAGATCATCCCTACGATCTGTTCCGGAGCGAGGTGGGGCCGAGTGGTAACTACAAAACCTAAATAAAAGTAAAGAAAGGTTAAGAAAAGCTACATTAGCTTGTAGTAGCTAGCCAGGGTTCGGACCGCAAACTCAAAGGTCATGGGTTCTATCCATCATCCAACTTCTGTCACAAGGGAAGAATATTATTAATATTAAAGCGATTATTTTCTTATAAATTGATAATATTCAAAAGTCTTTATAATATTCAAATATATTTGAAAAAAAAAATGGTATCAATTTCACCGTGATGTGACGGTGTAAGAATATCCTTCACACCGTATCGTCCCATGGCTGGCCATTTACATTAGAGCCACGGCCGGCCCCCAAAAAAAAAAAACCTAAGCGTGTGTTTCGTATGATAAGTGTAGAGTACCGGAGACCCTTATTACTAGAAACGAGGCATTCCATCTTAGTCCTCAAGGGTGACGCGTCTACATTTTGATACTTAATTGAAGATACATGTAGGTGTCTATAGGCCACAGTATCCACTTATCATCAGGTAGACTGTGTACTTGTTTGTTACCTTAATTCCAAAAAAAAATATATTTTTGTAACATTGAAGTGTAAAATAAACTATTCATGTAGTCCCACGTGAATTGACCCGGTAGTAATTGGTATAGTAACACAGCCAAGACTCTTACAACCATTTCTAAACAAACTGAACTACAGCTGCATTATTAACCTGAGGAATAAAATGTGCATCATAGAAAACTATAAAACATACATAATATAATCGGGGAGTGGGCGGAGCCCGTGTAGCCACTAATATGTCACTTACATGTCAATTCATACTTATAAATGTCAACACAATCAAACGTTTCCAATTTTCGTGTCAAGTGTCCCTGCATGCAAATTATTAAAAAAAATTACAAATTGTGCAATAATTACGTGTCGAAACAACAGCGGGAAATGAAATATTAATAAAGGAGAATTCAAAAACCAGTAAGTCGAAACTATTTATATTTTGTGAATATTAGAAACAAAACTAAAGAAATATTTATGTGCCTAAAACATTAATCAAAAGTCTAAAATTTGTTTGTAGTAGTGATAACTGATAATTCGATGTAATTGGTTAAATGTGTACTCCCGGCGACACCGATCCTCGTACTAAATAAGATTGACAGCCATTCTAATGTGTATTATAGTATTCTATGATGTGCATACATTGCAGACTGTGATACCCGACGGGGTAGAAAAAAATAATGTGTTAACTGTGTTATTTGCCTAGTATATCGTTGAAGTCTACTAATGGGACTAATGGGGGTTTGTGCTTGTCTAGGTGATTCCCATCACTTATTTCACAATTTTCCATCTTAATCCATAACTTTGGGCAAAAAGTTAAAAGTTAAAGTTACAGCCTATATACGTCCCACTGCTGAGCTCAGGCCTCCCCTCATTTCTGAGAGGGTTTAGGGCAAGGAAGTGTCCGCCGCGCTGCCCAAATGCGTGTTGACGAACTTCACATGTCTTCGAAATATTTTTTTTCTTATTCCTCAGACATGCAGGTTTCCTCACGATGTTTTCCTTCACCGTCGAGCACGTGATAAATCAGCACTTAAAATTGCAATTAACAATTTCATTGGTGCCGGCGGGGATCGAACCCGGGTTACTCGCGTTCTGTTATATTTACAGCGAGCGTTAACCACTGAGCTACCACGGCTCTCCACTGAGCTACCACTTTGGGCAAACGTTAACCTTAAATCCCAGATCAACATAGGACTACGATGTAATGCCTCACATTCTATCATCATTACTCATATCTCATCTATTGTGTGACACTAACTGTAGGTACGTACATTTTTTTTACTATTCTAAGCCACCCGTTTATTGATGATGATGCAGCTGAAGATGATGAAGCGCACTGACTTAACAAAAGCCATCTTGAAGACACCCACATTGTAATCATTCCCTTGCTGTACGCATGACGAACGATAAATGAAAACGTTTAGTTCGAACGCGTCCTAAGTCGACAACGAAAGGGTTGAGACTGACCGAGCATTTGGTAGTCCAATGGTCGAAGGGAGACGTTCATTCATAAAATTTATCTTTATAAGTGATTCTAGGGGTTTTTTATAGGAGAAGAGTGACAAACGAGCACATAGTCCACCTGATGGTAAAAGGTTGCTGTGGCTTATAGACCGCATTGCGAACACGAATGCATTGTCACCAATGAGGACTAAGATGGAACGGCTCCTTTCCAATAAAGAGGGTCTCTGGTTCTCTACACTCACCATACGAAACACACTAGCGTTAAGCTGCTATTTCACGTTGATATTCTGTGAGAGCGTGGTCCCTCCCCGGTCGAGCTGACCTATTCGTGCTACAACTATACTGCTAATATGGCTGCAGTATAGCTCTACCACGTATAATGTGCCGATTATCAGTAGAATGGGGCTGGAGGTTGATTGCTACCCAGGATTACTTCTAGGCATTAAAGTAAGAGCTGATGATTTTTTTAAACTGTTTTATACACTTCTAGACGTCTGAATAACCTGAAATTATCAGACGTAGGTATTAAGAACCAATGACAATACAATAATAATAAAAAATAAATACAATAAACTCATGATCAGTGCGTGTGGTTTAAGGTTTCTATAACTGTAATTGTCAATTTAGTTTCTTCAACCGTACAAAAGAAATCTATCAGATATATATATATATAAATTATCACATTACATAAACACTCACGCCTGTCACCCAGAGGGTAGGCAGAGACTACGGACTTCCATTTGGCACGATCCTGGAATACCTCTTTCGCCTCCTTTACATCCATATATCTACGCATACATACTCGTCGGTTAAGGGTACTTCTAACGTGGCCCATTTTCGAAATATCGCCAATTTGGTCGATAAACTTTTTTCTAGGGCGTCCCTTCCCGACTCGGCCGTTCACACCTGCCATATAAATTTGCTTTGTCACTCTTTCCTCATTCATTCTTTCTACGTGACAAACCACCGAAGCATTCCTTTCTTAATCCTGGTCACATCATCTTGCATACCACATTTATCTCTTATCACGCAATTTCTCACCCCGTCATTCAGATTCAACCCTAGCATATTCCTTAAAGACCGCATTTCTACAGCATTTATTCTACTTTCGTGCTTCTTCTGCCACACCCAGCTTTCACTACCATACATTAAAGTAGGGACTAACACAATAGAGTGTCGTGCCCCATTC